CCCGCCGCAGCACGCCGCCCCGCCGCTCCGCAGCCCTCCCCGGCCCGCCTCACTCACCCAGGCCTGCCGCTCCAGCTGCGCGTACAGACTGGAGCCTTTGAGCTTCTGCACGATCTGGGCGATGACGAGGGACAGATCCGGCTCCTCCTGCAACATCTCCCCCGCCCCAGCCCGCAAGCCGCGGGGACAGGCCGCCAGGGCGGACAGAACGGGCTAGCGGGTCCCACTCAGGGCCAGTGACACTTCCCCGGGACCTTATTCGATGGGACGCCTCCGGCGGGCGTTACCAGGCAACTGCCGAGCGGCGTGTCCGTCCCTCTTTGGCTCCGTCGGTGCCTGAAGCCTCCAGCACCTGCGTTCCGCTGGCGGAAAAAGACCGGGGCGGGGAGGCCGCTTTTTATTCCATTGTTCCTGCCTCCGGTGTGGTAGAAGCGCGAGAACAGGAGCTGTCCCACAGAGCTAGAGCGCCTCTGCTGCAAACGGGAACTCAGCGAGCTGCGTACTTTCGTATTTTACATGTAAATGATCATTGCTCTCCCACCTGTCAGCCCCTGCTGAAACAGGGCTGCGCATGCATAACGGCAGACAGCACCCAAGAATTTTCAGGTTCTGACACTAGCTGCGTAAAGTTGGGCTTGGTGCTTAAATATGGAATTCAGTTTCTGCCTCTGTAAAATAATACCTAGCTGACAAGCTAATGTGGCGATTAGCTAAGGCAAAATCGTCAAGGTGCCTAGCCCTGTACAAAGCCCTCCTTTTCCCCCCCCTCGTTTCTAGTTTCTGGGGTCATATGCCAGGAATAAAAGAACGATCACTTCTCATCTAACAGCCACAGACTAATCAAGAATCGTTACCAATAGGTTTTCTTTGAAGCATTAGTAATTCGATGATGAATAAAACATTGTCTCAGTCTTCAAGGAATTTACAGTGGAAATTCTTCCTTTTCCAGGTATCTGTTCACGCAATCATTTATAAGGCATTCAGTTCTCAACTTACTGAGCATTTACATACAAGGAACTGTGAGGGTATAAAGGTTTTATAAAATATGGTTCTTGCCTTCAAGGAGACAAACAAATATTTTTAGATGAACTATTAAAAGTAACTGATTTAACTAATTGAATGACATCTCCAAAAGCCAATGGTAGCCAGAAAAGGCCCAGAGGAATAATACACACATTAAAATAACCTCACCAAAATAATTCGTTTCAAGTGTGTGCATGCTCATATACTTTTAAACAAAGCTAAAGGGGCATTCCAAAAACACAGGCCGGGATTAATTGTAAGATAACTGCTCTAGACGAACTACATTTGACCAATATGCTTAGGAATCACAAGAGATCTTGTTAAATCCAATGCACATTGATTCAACAGATCTCTTATGGGACTTGATCATTTGAATTTCTTATAGGTTTGAAGAGACTGTGATGTTGTGTTTCAAAACTATATTATGAATACCAAAGATCTAGAGCAGGTAAACAATAGAAATTCAAAGTGGCGAAGCCCCTGGCACCTATACACGACACCCTGGTATTCATAACATGACTGTTCAGAATACTGTAATGAGAAATATTGAGTTGCAATAACCGATTTGGTCAAGTTTACTTATGACATCAACTATGGAAAGAGGCAAGCAGGAAAGAAGCAAAGCATGTAAAGATAATGATAAACTCTAAAAAACAGGTAGCTTTTCGACAAAAGATTCTCTCATGATTCAGAATTTCTCAAACACAAATGGAGAGATCACTTCAACTCCATAGTCTCTCCATCCCGACACCCTCGCCATGCATGAATCTCCACCTTACTATGAAAAAAAAAAAACTATGGTGACAATTCCTTTGAGACTGAAGAGCAGGGTGATAGAAAAAGGTAGGATGATTAGTAAAGAAAGATAAAAATGCTTAGGTCGAGAAGGGTCATAGAGCATAACGAAGAAAGAACATGACCCCACGGAGCAGAAAAAAAGCATGGTGCCTGGAGTGACAGACAGCCGAGCTCCCTTCCTGGAGTAGGATCCCAGGGATTGATGAGTCACTGTGTCAGTCTCAGCTTTCTCAGCTATAACAAAAGGGCAGGCAACCACCTGGGGAGAGGAGGAGTAAACATACCTCATACTAAAATATTGTAAAACATTGAGACCAGCAGATGGCATAATGGCTACATCACCAGACTCCCATGGAGTCGACTGTGGTTCCAGTCCTGGCCCCAACAGCTTAAAACTCGCATTGAGTGGGTGTGCGTGCTACCCAAGATCCGGAGAGGAGAATGGAGAAGGGAGGTGGTGTGACCATCCCCCAGAGGGTGATTTCTTACTTTCTGTCTGTCTCTCTCTGCCTTTCTGCTGAGCACACACACCTAATAGCAAAAACCTCTCTCTAAAGTAGATAGATAGATAGATAGATAGATAGATAGATAGAAAGAAAGAAAGATAGAGATTAAACATTGAACTGAATATAATTAAATAAAAATTCCCACTACTATAGAAAGTAAATAAACAGCAACATACACTTTGCACAAATAGAGATTTAACATAAATTTTTAAAGGAGAGAGCAGCTTGTAATGGCAAAGCAACAATGAAGAAGTTTGGATTTGATTCTGAAAGTATGTGCAAGCAAAAAAATATATCAATCCTAATGCTAAAAAATCATTGCTTACATCCACCGAAGTATGTGTGTAGGTTCACTCAATTCTAGGACGCCTTCTGCTCTTTTTCCAATTCAATTCTGTCAAACTCACCAGAACACCTGCTCTAGACTAAGACTGGCAAAGAACACGGAAGTAAGTAAGAAACAGTCGCTTCTCTCAAGGGATCTCAGTCCCAAAGGCATGTCAGAGCTAGGACACAGAGGACGATCATGGCAGACCGGCCTTGTGATCTCCCCCCTGCACGCCTGAAACTTTTATTACGCTACAGCCATTGTCCCATGAGAAACTGAAGGTGCAGTTTCCGTCTCCACACCAGAGGAGGAAACTTTGTACCCAGAGTGGGTGGGGATTGGGAAAACTTTCTGACTTCAAGGTGAAAGGCGACCCCACCCAGGAGAGGAAAAGCAAGAAGGGGCCAATCTCACCTTAGTTCGAACGATATAAACAGAGACAACAGTGAGGTAGACACAGAGGGAAGTCTCAGCATTCTCTACATTTAGGGCAAAGGAACTTCTGGGCCACCTTGTGCAGGGCTCTGGGCCCAACCTCACCTTTCTCAGGCCTGTTCCACTTCATCTATTTTACTTACAGTGTTGTTTCACAGCGGAGGGGCAAGGGCTGCAATTAAAGACCACTGACTCGGGGTCAAATGACAATATGGACTGTATCGAAGACGCTCTGCCAGCCTGAAAAATGGAGACACGCTTCAGGGTGCACCGAAACATATTCTTACTTTAGTCATGTGACTGAGGCTTTCATAAACTCTCCCACCTACAGTGAAGAGTATTTTCAGCTGTGGTTGCAGAAGGAGGCACTGCTTTAAGTGTGTTGTGGCTTCAGAATAAACTGAACTATATGTCAAGAATTTATTTAGCTCTGCTAGAGAGGAGGGGGCTGCCCTTTCTGATGGGGGAGTGGGCTCTCAGGTCAGGAGAGCTGGGCTGGGGCCGGAGCTGGAGCTGGGGCCCGGGCCAGTGAAAAAAGTAAACAATGTATTATGTGTGTTTTGTGTATTACAAATATCACAGGTCTCACTGTCTTAGGGCACAAATGAGGTACAGCGACATCAATTATCTGTCACCGGACAGTTAGCCTTTACCTCCTGGCACAAGACCTCAGACTCCTCTTCACAGTCTCTTCCTGTGACTTCTGGGAGTCCTCAGGAAGGGACACTTGTGCTCAGACCAAAGTCTGCTCCTGATCTGCTCTGCCTGCCCCGGGATGCAGGAAGCCCCGAAGCCACTGTCCAGGGTGCTGTTTCTGGTGCTCCCACGGCAGCAGAACCCTGAAGGTGCTTAGGCCCTCATGGAAAATGCCCCTTCTAATTCTGCTTGCTACGTCTTTTTACAAAGACATCATACCTTGCTAAAGATAGCAAGAGAACAAAGAGAAAGGCATGACATTAATGGGACACAGATATGGCTTATTACCTGTTGATGATGATGTGTATAGTATTCTCAACTGGATTGGTCTGAGAAGTATTCCATGATGGGTAAAGTCTTTTTTACAAGCAAAATGGAAAAAAATAAAAAGATTGGTTAAAAAATAATTAGAATAATAATAATAATGATCGGAAAAAGCAATGGAAAGATATTGAATGATGACGTGGGGATGTTAATGTCTCTGTATTGACTGACATGCATGGCATTCCCTTTTGAAAGGGCAATGTAATACACTGTAAAGTTATATGTGATTCAATGTAATAGAGACAAGAGTATGATGATAATAAATAGATTTTTAAAAAGAGATCATACCTTGCTTTTGTATCCAGGCCCAGTATCAGCCCATACCACCCCGTACTTCCTCATCTTTTGTGCCTATGACCCCTGGAAATTACATGAGAAAGGGGAGGACTAGGTTACTGGCTTCACGAGAAAGCTCAGGGTCTGTGTTGACTCTGTGCAAGAGAAAGCTCAGCTCAGTCATTTAAGTCACAGGGTATTACACTATTGCCAAATCTAGAGGGCAGTCCCAATGCTGGCCCAGCGTCTCAACAACAGCATCAAGAACCTACGGTCTTGGGACCGGCTCCATGACCTAATGGTTAAGAGAGCCAGATCTTACATGACCAGCTACTTGGTTTGAATCCTAGTCCAGGTGGCTTGAAGAACATGCCAGGTGCGTGTGTGTGTGTGTGTGTGTGTGTGTGTGTGTGTCCCAAATCGTGGCAGGATAAAGAAATGGAGGACAAGGGATGGTCATGCCCCAATGGAGAGGATGCTTTCTCCCTCTTTCTGGGAAGTGCTTACACCCTCTGACAATTAAGAAATAATAGTAGGGGCTGGCAGGTGTTGTGGTGGTCAAAGGCACTGGACTCCCACATGGCTGACTGCAGTTTGAGTCCCGGACCTGGTGGTTTGCTTGCTCTCTCTCTCTCTCTCTCTCCCTCCCTCTCCCCCTCTCTGGTCAAATTAAAATAAATAAATAAATAAAGTTAAATAAAATAATTCTTTTAAAAAACAACAGTAACTTCCCTCCTTCTTTTCCATTCTGCCATCCTCAGCGTACCGCTTCCCCTCTCCAGCCCATCGGCTCAGTCGCAGTGTGGCTGTTACATTGCCGAATATCATGTTCTCCTACTGCTGCCTTGAAATGCAGGAGGGAAAGGCACAAGACAAGAGTTCCCAATGTCTATGCATGTCT